GAAGAAGAAGGGGATCCAGCATCAGCTCACGGTGCCCTACAACCCTCAGCAGAACGGCGTGGCTGAGCGGTTCAACCGGACCCTGCAGGAAGGTGCTCGCACTCTCCTTGGGCGTGCAGGGCTGCCGGATCCGTTTTGGGTGACTGCACTACGGCATGTCGTTGTGGTGAAGAACAGGGTGCTCGCAACTGTGGGGGACAAGCAGTGGGTGCCTTACACCAAGTGGTATGGGAGTGCACCAGCAGTCAACATGCTGAGAGCCTACGGCTGCATGGTGGTGTTTCATGTGCCGAAGGAGAAGAGGGGAAAGTTGGAAGCTTCTGGAAGATGGGGTGTGCACTTGGGACTTGCGAAGGACCACAAGGGCTGGCTCATATGGGACTTGACCAGCCAGCAGCTGACTGTGTCAAGGGACGTGAAGTTCCTGGAGTCCTTGTACTACAAGGAGTGGAAGCAGCAGCAGCAGAAGCTTCCTACGACACCGCTGATCGTTGAGGCCGATGAGATGCAGCGGCCTTCGAGGCAAGTGGAGGTTGCCATCTCAGAGGAGGAGATCTCTGGGGTGACTGAGGATGGGGGAGAACCCGAGGTGGTGGAGCAGCAGCAGCAGCAGCAGCAGCAGCAGCCGCAGCAGCAGCAGCAAGATGCTCCACGAGGTGCCGCACGTACGGCTGACCGTCCTAAGAGGGATGTGCGCCCTCCTAACCGGCTGATCTATCCGAGCTTTGGGAAGCCGAAGGTGGTACGGGCTGGGAGTGTGGCTGAGCAGTGTGATGAGGAGGAGATAGCGCACTGCTACTGGGCAGCCGTCCCTGAGCCCAAGACGCTTACCGAGGCCTTGAGTGGGCCCGATGCTGAGAAGTGGAAGCAGAGTGTGAAGGAGGAGTACGACTCACTGCTGGAGAATGAGACGTGGGAGCTGTGTGAGCTGCCTCCTGGGAAGAAGGCAATCTCTTCGAAGCTGATCTTCAGGCACAAGTATGGACCTGATGGGGAGCTGACGCGCTACAAGTCAAGGCTTGTCGCTAAGGGGTTCCAGCAGACGAAGGGGAAGGATTTTGATGAGCTCTATGCTCCTGTGGAAAAAGGCACAACACTGAGAGTGTCTTTGGCGATGGCCGCATACCGTGGATGGCGGGTAAAGCAGCTGGACATTACCACCGCCTTCCTCAATGGAGTCATTCTGGAGGAGCTGTACATGCTGCAGCCTGAGGGGTTGGATGATGGGAGCGGCAGGGTGTGCAGGCTGAAGAAGGCCATCTATGGCCTGAAGCAGGCTCCTCGTGCATGGTACCTCAAACTGGAGGAGACACTGCTGGCTGGGGGGTTCAAGAAGAGTGAGTGCGATCACAGCTTGTTCCTGCTGCAAGAGAAGGAGCAGTTTCTCATGCTCTTGGTGTATGTGGACGACATACTGCTCTTCTCTGAGTCGTCTGCAATGATTGAGCGTGTGGAGGAGATGCTGGAAATGCAGTTCAAGTGCTCCAAGATGGGAGACGTGAAGTACTACCTGGGGATGCATGTGGAGAGGGACCTTGACAAGGGAGTGTTGAGGTTGCACCAGAGGAAGTATTGTGAGGGGCTGGCCGAGAAGTATGGGCTGCGAGATGAAGGGAAGCCAGCCACCCCACTGCCTTCAGGGTTCACCGTAGAGCCCTGTGCTGATGAGGAGGTGGTGGGAGAGAGTGACAGGAAGCTGTTTCACTCCATGGTGGGGGCACTCAACTATGCGGCTAACCACACACGGCTTGACATTGCCTTTGCAACATCCAGGCTTGCCAGTGTGGTTTCACGCCCCAGTCATGAGCAGCTAGAAGCGGCCAAGAGGTTGGTCCGCTATGTGAGTGCAACGGCATCAGTGGGTTTGGAGTACAGTGCTGTGCGACAGAGGCTACAGAGGGGTGCAGCTGATTTGAGCAAGGGGGAGATGCGCTTGACTTGCTACACCGACGCTAGCTTCAACTCAGTGAAGACGGATGGCACCAGCATTGGAGGCTATGTGTGCCTCTTTGGAGGTGGTGCAGTGAGCTGGCGCAGCAAGAAGCAGAACGAGGTGGGGCTGTCCTCGTGTGAGACAGAGTACATGGCCCTTCATCATGGGGCAAAGGAGGTGGTGTGGCTGAGGCGTTTGCTAGAGGAGATTTGGGTTGGTCAAAGGGAGCCGACTGTGATTTTCTGTGACAATGAGTCGACGGTGAAGCTTGCGAAGAATGCTTGTCTTCATGGGCTGACCAAACACATCAGGCCTAAGTGGCACTGGGTGAGAAGGCTCCTGGACAAGGAGGTGCGGCTGGAGATTGTGAAGACCCATCAGCAGGCGGCTGACATTCTCACCAAGCGCCTGGCTGAATCTGAGCATTGGAAGGGCATGAAGCTTGCTGGGATGAGTGTGCATTGAGGGTGCATGCTTGAGCTATGGCATGTGGGATGATGGTTGGCAGCCAGAGGGGGAGTTTGTTATGTGATGCTATCATTTGCATTCACGTCTGTCTGCCTCCCATCATGTGTTCGTGCGTTGCATGTGTGAAATGAGCGTGCGCAAGAATTTGTGTTTTTCTGTGGTTTGGATTTTCTGAGTGTGTGTGAATGTTGTTTGGCTTGAGAAGATATCTGAAGTGACTCCACTGCTCAAGATCTTTCCGACGAGCCAAGAATCGTCGCGATCGGAGCAATATCAAGAAAGTTACGAACGTTGGAGTTCGTATGCTTTCTGTACTTCGGTTGTGGCGACTATGGGAAGTTGTGGGGTTGACTCAATATGGGGTACAGACTTTTGGGGGTTGGGAATTCGAACCCATCACTGTAGAATGCTGCCATGTGGTTGGGTGAAGCCAAACCAGGTTGGCAAGTGTGGCCAAGTGGGTTGAGGTGGATGGCATGAGTTGGGAAAGTGACAAATGTGAAAGTGGGGTTGCCTATGGGGAAGGGAATTCTGTGGCATGGGGTTTCCTTAGTTGGGGAATCTCTTGGGACCTTCCCTCTCGTCCTCCTCTTCCCTCCTACCTGGTTTAGTGCTACCCTAACTCTCTTGTGTGCAACTCTTGTGAACTTGTGAAACTATTGTGAGTGAATTTAATTTCTATGTGGCAGCATACCCCCTGGTGCGCCGAGAAACATAACTCGAGATTTACTCCATTTTTCGATACGTTTCAAATTGCGAATGATAGCCACAAACAAGGGCTACAACATACTCGAGTTTGAAACGATTCTAACAGTGCACTTTTTGTCGACAACGTTTCTTGTGAAGTCGCGGTTTCTGTCCAGAATTTCAAGCTAACGATTTTGAGAAATTTAGGCTCCTTATCTTCACAGACTCGATCCTTAGTCTCTAACAAGTACAAGTAAAGTCAAGAGGAGAGCAAGTGAGGCAAGACAGGCACAAGACCCAGCTGGGTGCAGAAGCGCTGATGGTCACAAGGCGCGAGTGCCTTGGTTAACACATCAGCAGTGTTGGCCTCAGAGGCCACGTACGCAAGCCGCAACTGTCCACGCTGCTGTAGCTCACGAGCAAGGAAGTAGCGAAGAGCAATGTGCTTCGTTCTGTGCTCCAGACGCTGCTCTCGACACAAGGCCAGCATGGCCTTGTTGTCTACGTACAGCACTGGAGGAGAACGAGGCGGCTCTCCAAGGTCAGTCAGCAGGTAGGTGAGCCAGCGAAGCTCCTGTGCAGCCATGGCCCCGGCGTAGATCTCAGCCTCACAACTGGAGCTGAGAACCGAAGACGAACGAGTAGCCCGCCACGAGACAGAGCCGGAACCAAGACTGAAGGTGTAACCCTGTGACGACCGCTGCGTAGCCTGGTCGTCAGCCCAAGAAGCGTTTGCGTGCCCTGTAAGGACCACTGGACTCCGCCCTCCAAGCACTAGCCCCATGCCTGACGTACTGCATATGTAGCGCAACACCCTCTTCGCTGCAGCCATGTGCTCTGGTCGGTGTCTCCCAGGAGCAACATAGCGTGCAAGAATGCTCAGAGGGTATGCAAGGTCAGGCCGTGTGCAGGTCATCAGGTACATGAGGCAGCCAACAAGCTCTGGGTACGGGCCACTCGACTCTACGGACTCATCCGAAGGCAGACCTGAGAGCGAGTGGCGAGTAGGCAGAGGAGTGGCCAAAGGCGAGGAGTACGTGAAGCCGAAGCGCTGAAGGACCTGCTGCACCATGTGTGACTGAGTCAAGGTAATGGTGCGGCGTGCTCTGTCCCGAGTGATCTGCAAGCCAAGGTAGCTGCGCAGTTCACCCAAGTCTGTGCACGTGTGTGTCTTCAGCAGCTCGGACTTCACGTAGGCGAGTCCAGCAGTGTCCACTGTGGCAAAGACCAAGTCGTCGACGTAAACGAGGATGTAGAACGGCGGCAGAGAAGTGTCCGTGCGCAGAAACAGCGACGGGTCAGCAGTAGAAGGAGCAAACCCAAGAGCCGCAAGCGTAGTCCTCAGTGCGTCGTGCCACTCACGCGGTGCCTGGCGGAGACCGTAGACTGGCCGTCGGAGGCTCCACTGGGTGCCAGGAGGGAAAGTCCCAGTGAAGCCAGGTGGACGGCGCAGCCAGATCTCCTCGTGCAGGCTACCCTGCAGGAACGCAGTGCTGAAGTCGAGAGAGTGAAGCTCGTAGTCGCGCTGAGCGGCTATGTGCAGCAGCACCCGAAGAGTGGTCATCTTCGGGGTGGGAGAGAAGGTCTGAAAGTAGTCAACTCCCTGCCGCTGACTGAAGCCACGAGCAACGTACCGCGCCTTGAAGACAGGTGGAGAGCCCGGCGGCCGCTTCACCCTGAAGATCCACATGCCACTGACGATGTTCGCCCCAGGAGGGGGAACTGCGTCAACGTAGGTGCCTGTGGACTTCCAGGAAGCCATCTCTGCATCCATAGCTGCCTGCCACTGAGACGAGTAGGGACCCTCTACGGCCTCCGCGTAAGAGCGCGGAGTCGGGATGTCTAGTGCATCCGGGTCTCCCTCAGGAGCAAGCAGTACAGACGCAAGATGAGGTGAAGCAGCAGCCAGACACTATAACTCCTCCTGCCTGTCCTCTAGGACGTCCGTGCCAAGAGCACACTCACCCCCGACGGACGGAGGACAGACAGACGCAGACTCAGCAACAAGACTAGCAGCGTAGTCTAGACGACATTGAGCAGCAAAGTCGACGAGCTCAGCGACAAGAGCAGACGCAGCAGTGGACTCAAAAGAGGGGTCAGTGACGACAGTAGCAAGCAGACGCGTGACAGTAGGACTGGCAGCACGAAGAGAGTCCGACTCAGGGTCGGCAAGCGCAGGAAGAGAGGACTCAGGAGGAGAAGGCAAAGGGGCACGCAGAGGAGCAGTGGACGGACGCAGAGACATCCGGTGCGTGCCAGGGACAGGAGGAGGACGCTGATGCGAACCGCGACCACTAGTGCGAGCAGCACGAACAGGCGACGCAGGACGAGACGCAGGCTCACGACGCTCAGCAAGACCTCCAGTAGGACCAGTGTAAGGAGAGGGAGAAGGCAGTGGAGAGGAAGGCTCCAACAGTGACTGTGACTGGACAGGCTGTGAACACTCTACCGGAGGAGAAAGACCAAGAACCTGCTGCAGGAGCGGAACGAAGTACGGTCGATGCCGCGCAGCAGCTCCAGACTCATCAGGGACAGCACCAGCACCCTCAGCGACAGCACCAGCGCCACCAACACCTCCAGCGGCAGGACCTCTAGCAGCACCAGCAGCAGAACCACCGCCGGGACAGACAGCAGTAGTCTCAGCAACAACACCCTCAGGAGCTCCTGCTCCAGGAGTACCCGCAGGCCCAGCAGCTCCGGGACCGGCAGCACCAGCACCCTCGACGGTCGAAGAAGCTCCAGCTCCAGCAGCACGCCTCCAGCGGCGAGCAAACCACTCGCGCAGCTCCTGTGGAGAGAGGGGCTCCCGGCGAGACGCAGCAGCAGGAGAAACCCCAGGCTCAGCAGCTCCAGACGTAGCACCCTCAGGCTCAGCAGCTCCAGACTCAGTACCCCCAGGCTCAGCAGCTCCCGACCCAGCACCCCCAGACCCAGCACCCCCTAGCTCAGCAGCTCCAGGCACCGTACCCCCCGGCTCAGCACCCCCAGGCTCAGCACCCTCCGCAGTAGCACTCCCAGGCCCAGCACCCCCAGGCTCAGCACCCCCAGTAGCAGTACCTCCAGGCTCGGTACCCCCGCGCACAGCACCCCCAGAGTCAGCACCCCCAGGCTCAGCACCCGCAGCAGCACCAGAGTCACCAGTAACCTCGACCGGGTCAACTGCGTCTACCTGGGACACACCTGAGGGGGCAGGAACCTGAGGGGGGAGGGGGTCTACCGGGGGGGGAACTGGCACAAGGAAGTCCGGCGGAGGGGGGAGGGAAGGAGTGCGGTAGGGGAAGAGGCGGTAGAAGGGGACTGACTCGTCGAACGTGACGTCCTGGGAGGACAAAACACGACGAGAGGAGGGGTGGTAAAACTGCCACCCGGGAGCGTCTGTGGGGAAGCCAAAGAAGACACAGGGAGCAGCACGAGGGGACAACTTGTCCGCAGACAAGTCGCGGACAAACGCCCGAGATCCCCAGACACGGAACGCCGACGCATCGCCAACCTTCCCCGTCCACAGCAAAGCTGGGGAGGTCTCCGGTCAGGAGACTCTGGGCTGAAGGTTGATCTGATGCGCGGCGTACCGAACCGCAAACGGCCACAGAAAATGGGGGGCAGCCGCATGCACCATGGACGTACGGGCGACGTCCATGACAATGCCGATGCGGCGCTCAGCAATCCCATTCTGCTGTGGAGAGTCCGGAAGCGTGAAGGTCTGGCGGATGCCTCGTGCCCGAATGTAGGCTCGCAGAAGGCCGGAGGAGAACTCTCCGCCTCGGTCCGAATGCAGACGCAGAACAGGAAAGTCCGAGCCAAAGCTCCGCCTGAGCTGGAGACGAGCTGCGCGGATCCAGTCGATCAACACCACAATGACCTCACCCTTGCTGCGCAAGGGGAAGACTGTGGTGTAACGCGAGTAGTCGTCAACCACCAGCAGGAAGTAGCGCTCGTGACCCTGTCCACGGACGCGGGCTGGGCCCCACACGTCCATGTGAAGTGTCTGCATCGGGGCCTCCGTCGGAGGAAACGGGGAGGAGTGAGGGGTAGCCCGCAGGCGACCCTCGACACAGGGGACACAGGGAGGGCCAGGCCCCGGAGGAAGGGGAGGTAGGGACCGGGGAAGGCCAGAGACGAGAAGGCGAGAGACCATGCCCCGGAATAGAGGCAGGGAGGGGTGACCCATCCTTTGGTGCCACAGGAGGGTCTCGTGGGACAAGAGGCGACACGAGCAGGGGGCAGACTTAGGACCAGACCTGGGCGCCGCAGCAAACACCTGACCCGACGCAGCTACCTGACCAGACGCAGGAGGAGGAGACGGAACAGTGAGTGTGTACAGGCTCGACCCCGGCCCACGTGTGAACGTGGTCAGGTGTCGACCCGTGTCCGCGTCCGTGCAGTGGGTGACCCGTCGGCGCGCAGGGGTGAACTGGTCAACCCCTGCATCCTGTAGGTCAGCACCCGCCACCAAGTTCGTAGAGAACGATGGGAGGTAGAGACCGGACAGGGCGCCAAACGGGACCGCAGGGCACGGCAGGACAGTGGAGTAGCGAGCCAGAACAGGACCCCCAGAGGGGTCTGCCAGGGAGATCGCCACTGGCCGACTAAGCGGCGTGAGTGTGGTGCGGTCTCGAAAGAAGGAGCGAGACGCCCCGGAGTCAAGAGTGAAAGTGAGAGAGGGCGGAGCCGACGCAGTACCTGAGAGAGCAGACTCACCAGCACCTGAGGACTCAGACTCACTGGCACCTAGAGCAATAGCCTCACCAGCACCTGGAGCAGTAGCCTCAACAGCACCTAGAGCCGCAGTACCAATGCCCGGGTCGGGCGGGAAACACCGGTAACAGTCACCCTCCTCACTAATAGTCACAGAATACATGGCAGCAAGAATAGCATCGAAGTCAAGATCAAAGATAGCTACTCCTGACCTAGACAGCTGGTCCCAGCGAGGGATCTCAGAGGCGTCAGGAAACTGGCGGCGCCAAGCGTCAGTCAGGCGGCCGAAGCAACGCTGGGCGGGGTGTGGACCACCACACTGCTCACCCGCACGGTCGCCAGTGCGCAGGACGTAAGTGCACGGACCAGTACCCCCACCCCGCTGACGTGCAGAGTACCACTCACGGAGCTGCTGCGGGGAGAGGGTCTCCTGACCACGCTGCTGCTGCTGGCGCTGACCACCACCGGAGCCACTCCTCCTCGACGAGCCACGACCTCCGCCGCCTCCTCCGCCGCCGCCGCCACCACCTCCGCTGCCACCGACACTCCCACCGTCGCCGCCGCCACCGCCGCCTCCGCCATCACTCCCACCACTACCGCCGCTGCCGCCCCCGCCTCCACTGCCCCCGCCGACACCTCCACTCCCGCTACCACTCCCGCTACCACCCTCACCTCCTCCGCTGCCTCTCCCGCCGCCTCCACCGCCCCCGCCGCCTCCACCACCGCCCCTGCCCCCCTTGCTCTTGCCAGAGCGACGTCTCCCGCTGGGGGCAGACGCCGCACCGACCGACTCAAAACCAACAAGGTGGGCCGTAGCAGCACAGGCGACAGAGGGCAGGAGGGGGGAGGGGGAACACCCCTCAAAGATGGGGGTGCGTGGGTCACCACGAGAGGCCCCTACAGCGAGAATGCTCTTCTCGGCTGCTAGGAGGGACTTCTCGAGGAGCTCGACAGTGAGAGTGGTGGGGCAGACTGCGAGTAGGTCGTCCCTGACTCCGCGAAGGGAGTCAGGGAGGCGGGTGACAATGTAGTAGAGAGTGAAGTACTGGGGGGGGGGGGTTCTTGGCGCAGAACTCAGCAGGAAGTGCAGCGCGGAAGCGAGCGTCACTAGTGCGCAGGTGGGTAATGAGGTCGGCTACTGTGGCAAAAGCAGCAAGGTCGGGAAAGAGGTACGGTAGCATGAGGCGGCTCAGTGCAGCAGTGGCAGGGGTGGAGTAGCGTGCAATAACGGCGTCGTACAAGGTCTGAGCACTCTTGTACGACCCAAAGTGCGCACGCTCAGCGGGAGGGAGGTGGCGACGCACAGCAAGACGTGCAGCAGCATCGCGTGTGGCCCACTGTGAGCGAACAGTGGCATCCTCAGTAGCAGCGGGGGCGGGAGAGGCACCAGAAGTGAGATCAAAGAGAGAGAGGTCGTCAGCTCTGTCGCACTATAGGAAAAGCAGTAGGTCGTCTACCCACACGTCAAAGTCGATGGCTCTGCCCTCAGCGTCAAAGGTGAGGACACTGGGGGTAGCCATGACAGCAGTAGAGAGAGGGCAGTGCGCAGAGTAAAGCTCAGTGCTCACCAGACAAGGCAGTGCAGGGAGGGCTCGGGCGGCTCGAGCGGCTCGGGCGGCTCGGCGGCGCGGCTGCTGGGCGGCTCGGGCGACTCGGCGGCTCGGGCGGCTCGGGCGGCACGGCTGCTGGGGGCGGCTCGGCTGCTGGGGCGGCTCGGCTGCAGGGGCGGCTCGGCTACTGGGGCGGCTTGGCTGCTACTGCGGCTCGGCTGCTGGGGCGGCGGGGCCGACAGGTGCAGCAGCGGGGCCGGTAGGGGTAGCGGCGGGGCCGGTTGAAGCAGCGGCGGGGCCGGCAGAGGGGACGGCGGGGCCGTCGGGTGCAGCGGCGGAGCCGGTAGAGGGGACGGCGGGGCCGTCAGGCGCGGCTGCAGGGCCGTCAGAAGGGGACGGCGGGGCCGCTTCTGAGCGAGCGGCGGGGCCGCGGCTGAGCAGGCGGCGGGGCCGCGTCGTAGCGGGTGGCGGGGCCGCGGTTGAGCAGGCGGCGGGGCCGCGACTGAGCGGGCGGCGGGGCCGCGTCTGAGCAAGCGGCGGAGCCGCGTTGTAGCGGGCGGCGGGGCCGCGTCTAAGCAGGCTGCGGGGCCGCGTCGTAGCGGGCGGCGGGGCCGCGTCGTAGCGGGCGGCGGGGCCGCGTCGTAGCGGGCGGCGGGGCCGCGGCTGAGCAGGAGGCGGGGCCGCGTCTGAGTAGGCGGTGGGGCCGCGATCGAAATGGCGGCGGGGCCGCGTCCGAAGGGGCGGCAGGGCCGCGAGGGAAGGGCGACACGGAGGGTCGCACGAGCGAGAGGAAAAAAAGTTAGCGCGCCTCGGGGCGCGCTTCGGTGGGCCCTAGGCGAAGTTCCCACAGGGAACCCGCTCTATACCATGTGAGAATTGTAGAACAGGAATGTGTGGACTATGAATGAAGGCAGTACAAATATGAAACCCTAACTGGGTTGTACCCCCTATGGGATACCCCACTACAGCCTACACAATAGTATAAGCTATAGATATGTTCTGACAACCCTTCCCTGCCACGCCTCCGTAGCAGGCACTCCCACTTCCTTGTCTCTGGCCTTCCCAGGGCGGTGAGTGGTACTCTCTGCTGGTTGTTGACGACTACACGCGTTACACCACTGTCTTCCCCTTGCGCACCAAGGGTGAGGTCCCTGCTATCTTGATCCCTTGGATCCGCGCTGTCTGTCTCCAGCTCCGCGAGAGGTTCCACACGGACCTTCCTGTCCTGCGTCTGCACTCTGACAGAGGTGGTGAGTTCTCTTCCGACCTCTTGAGGGCCTTCTGTTAGGGAGAGGGCATCCTCCAGTCGTTCATGCTTTTGGCCTCCCTATAGCAGAATGGGGTTGCTGAGCGCCGCATTGGCTTAGTCATGGAGATCGCTCATACCTCCATGATCCATGCGGTTGCTCCCCATTTTCTGTGGTCGTTTGCGGTCCGATACGCTGCGCATCAGCTCAACCTCTGGCCCCGTGTCTCCTTGCCGGAGACCTGACCCACACTGCGTTGGACGGGGGAGGTTGGCGATGCGTCGCAGTTCCGGGTCTGGGGCTCTTGTGCCTTTGTCCGCGATACCACCGCAGATTATCTCTCCTCTCGCGCCATTCCCTGTGTCTTCCTTGGCTTCCCCCCTGACGCGCCTGGCTGGCAGTTTTACCACACCACCTCGCACTGTGTCTTCTCCTCTCATGGCGTCACGTTTGACGAGTCGGTTCCCTTTTACCATCTCTTCCCCTACCGCACTGCCCCTCTCCCCCCCCCCCCCCGCCGCTCTTTCTCGCTCCAGGTCCCCCTCCGGTAGACCCCCTCCCCCCTCAGGATCCTGCTCCTTCAGGTGTGTCTCAGGTAGACCCGCCTCCCTTGGCTGAGCCTGTAGAGGTCACTGGTGACTTAGGTGCTGCTGGGGGTGGTCCTACTTGGGGTGCTGTGTTTGGGGGTGCGGGGCCTGGGGGTACAGAGCCTAGGGGTATTGGGGTTGGGGGTGCGGAGCCTCGGGGTGCTGAGCCTGAGGGTGCGGAGCCTGGGGGTGCTGGGCCTGGGGGTGTGGAGCCTAGGGGTGCTAACCCTGAGGGTGCAGAGCCTGGGGGTGCTGAGCCTAGGGGTGCGGAGCCTGGGGGTGCTAAGCCTGCGCGAGCGAAACTGAAGAGTGTCGAGCCTGCGCGTTCGGCGCCTGGAGGTACTACGTCTGGGGGTGCGGAGCCTGGGAGTGCTGAGCCTAGGGGCACTGCGTCTACCCTGCTGGAGTCTCTCTCGTCGTAGCAGCTGCGTGAGTGGTACGCTACGTGCACCCGCTCTCGGCCTGGTACTGCTGGTTTCAGAGGCGCTCGTCCTGGACGTGCTGGAGCTGGGGGCGGTGGCGGTGCTGCTGGTGCTAGAGGCGCTGGAGCTGGAGGTACCGGAGGAGCTGGAGCTGCTGGTTCTGGAGGGACTGCAGTTGCTGGTGCTGCTGGTGCTGCTGGTGCTGGAGGTGCTGGTGGTACGAGCGCCGCTAGTCCCGGAGGTGCTCGCACTTTGGGTGCTGGAGCTACCGGAACTGGTGGTGCTGCGGACTTTGGAGCTTTAGGTGCTGGAGCTAGGGTTTCTGGAGCTGCCAGAGATACTAGAGTTGGAGTTTCTGGAGCTGCTTGAGGTGCTGGAGCTGGAGTTTCTGGAGCTGCTGGAGACCCTCGAGGTGCTGGTGCTAGCGGAGCTGGTCCTGGTGGTACTGCACCGCCATGTTTGTTCTTCACTCCACTGTCACCGTCGTCTCTGCCTCCGCCTGTCTCCGTGCTTCTTAGTCTCCCGTCTTCCACTGACTAGGCTCCCCACTGCCTGCTCCCTCTTCTTACACTGAGCAGATAGGAGGTCTTACTGAGCTTCGTGAGCCTGCGTCTCGTCCTGTCTCGCTTGTTCGCGCTAGTCGCACTGGTCGTCGTGTTCCTCATGAGCGTCCTCCTCCTGTCCCCAGCACGCACACTATGTCCCTTCGTCCATCCTCTGTTCCTCTGCATGTTCCCCTGCCGTCTCCTCCTGCGTCTTCTCTGCCTAACGTTCCCGGCCCGGCGTCTGACCTGGTTCGTGCTGCTCACCCTACTGCCACGCGTCTATTAGCCATTGTTGTCACTGACCCTTCGTTTGAGTCCACTGCTGCGTCTGCCTTAGTTGCTGAGCTTGTTGACTTTGCTGCTGCTTGTCGTCTTAACTATGCCACCAGTCTTGTCGCTGAGTCTGAGTCTGTCTGTCCTCCGTGCGTCGGAGGTGAGTGTGCTCTTGGCACGGACGTCCTTGAGGACAAGAAAAAGGACTTTGAGTGTCTTGCAGCCGCTGCACCTCATCTCGTGGTCATGCTACTTGCCCCTGAGGAAGACCCGGATGCACCAGACATCCGACCCCGCGCTCTTACGCTGAGGCGATCGCGGGTGAGTACTCCTCTCAGTGGGAGACAGCCATGGATGCAGAGATGGCATCCTGGAAGTCCACATGCACTTACGTCGACGAGGTTCCCCCTCCTGGGGCGAACATCCTCGATGGCATGTGGATTTTCAGGGTGAAGCGGCCGCCGGGTTCTCCGCCTGTCTTCAAGGCGCGTTACGTTGCACGAGGCTACAGTTAGCAAGAGGGAGTTGACTTCTTCCATACCTTCTCCCCCACCCCAAAGATGACCACTCTTCGGGTGATGTTGCACGTTGTTACTCACCGTTACTACGAGCTTTACTCTCTAGACTTCAGCACAGCGTTGTCTGCACGAGGAGATCTGGCTGCGCCGCCCACCTGGCTTCACTGGGTCGTTCCCTCCTGGTACCTAGTGGAGCCCCGCCGGCCAGTCTACAGTATCCGTCGGGCGCCTCGTGAGTGGCACAACACACTGAGGACGACACTTGCGGCTCTTGGGTTTGCCCCTTCCACTGCTGACCCGTCGTTGTTTCTACGCACCGACACTTCGCTGCCGCCGTTCTACATCGTCGTGTACGTCGATCACACATGGTGCAGCAGGTCCTTCAGCGCTTCTGTTTCACTTGGTCCTCGCCACAGTCCACTCCTCTGGCTACCGGTCACTCGCTCTCAGCTCCACCTTCGGACGAGTCCATAGAGCCGAGTGGCTCGTATCCAGAGCTAGTGGGCTGCCTCATGTACCTGATGACCTGCACTCGTCCTGACCTTGCGTACCCTCTTGGCCTTCTGGCATGCTACGTGGCTCTCGACAGACACCAAAAGGTGCACTTGGAAGCTGCGAAGAGGGTACTGCGTTACTTGTACAGTACATCAGGCATGGGGCTCGTGCTTGGATGGCGGGGTTCAATTGTCCTCACTGGACAGTCAGACGCGTCTTGGGTTGACGACCTGGCTACACAGCGGTCGTCACAAGGTTACACGTTCAGCCTTGGCTCCGGTTCTGGTTCTTGGCGGTCTACACGCTCGTGTTCTGTTCTCAGCTCCATATTTGAGGCTGAGATCTACGCCACAGCCATGGCTGCACAGAAGTTATGCTGGCTCACCTACATGTTGACCGACTTGGGAGAGGGGCCTCGTTCTCCTCCAGTTCTGTACGTAGACAACAAGGCTGCTATTGTCTTGTGTCGGGACTATAGACTAGAGCACAAAACGAAGCACATCGCTCTGCGTTACTTCTTTGCTCGAGAGTTACAGCAGCGTGGTCAGCTTCGTGTCGCTCACGTGCCCACCCGGCCCAACACAGCTGATGTTTTCACCAAGGCCCTTCCGGCTGGTGACCATCAGCGTTTCTGCACTGCTCTAGGCCTGGTGCCTACGTTTCCTCACTTGCTTACTTCGTAACTTTGCTTGTACTGAGATATATATATATATATACTTG